ATCTATCTATCTATCTATCTATCTATCTATCTATCTATCTATCTATCTATCCCAAAATAATATAAGACCAGCTTCACCAGACCATGCTAACAGTAAAGTGGATACAGTGTGGATGTGGGGAACAGAAAGGGGGTTGGGTGGTCTGCATCAGCTCTTTCACGTGGTCTGTTTTTTCCTCCCAGCATGACCAAATCACCTGCCATACACACGCACATGGCTGAGGAAAAAGTGGGCACACGCACAACAATTTCACAACGAGACCGCGCTCCGTCCTCCACCAATGATTTCTTCTCTTTTTCAAAAGTCTACTTACTTCTCCGGAGCGTGTTTGTAGTCGCTGTGGAATCCATCCTGATGTTTCCAGTCTCGTACTCCCCTCTTTGGCCCGGTTTGCCATTTTACAGACTTCCCCTGCTAACAAGTGGCTGCCTCATTTCAGCTCTCACAACTCACATCCAGTTCTCGGCTCGGTTCTGCTAACGCGCTTCAGTTTCTGGATTTTTATCTCGAAAATCGGAGAGAGAAAAGGACTCGGTTGTTTCCGCGGTCGCGGGAACGCGCATCCCCGATAGCCTGTAGATGGAAAACATGACTGCAGCGCTCACGGTTCTCATCTGAATGCGGGAATCCGGCGCAGCTCCGGCCGGTCTAACAGCCGGAATCCAGCCGGACAAACGGCACCGAGAGCCGGGGTAAAGATCCAGAGGGACCGCGGTAGAGCGGGTCAGAGCGGGGAAGCGGGCTGAGGGAGACCGAGCAGGCTGCTATGGAGACTGGGGCTCTTTAAGGCGTTATGTGTGTGCATGGACTCGATTTTTTAAGATTAATCTGCCAGTTTGGCACACTCTTTGTTTAACGCACGAGGCGTGTCAGCCCGCGTCCCCGGTACACTTTAATAGTGGGAGACTCGCTGACCTCTCGTTCACTCCAACTCTCTCTTTCTACCCCTCTCCACCTCCCTCATCCGCACCCTTTCTTTCCGACATTTCCACCTCTCCTCACCCCCGTCTGTCCCTCACCCCCTCTTCTCCCCCCTGCCTCGCTCCGTCATACTAAATTGAGTTGGAGTCATTCAGAGAAAAATGGTCGTTTGGTGTGGAGGAGGAAAAGTCTCCTTTTTCTTCTCTCTGCCGAGCACAGATTTATCTTCCAGGATCCATCCTCCCTTTCCTCCGTTTGTGGCAGAAACAGAAAAGACACAACCGTGCAAAAATAACATCTGAACCATTTTGAAAAACCCTCATTATATTCAAGTAACTAAACGGAAAATGTGTATATTAGCATAATATCAGATCTGTCATAATAGAGTTGAGCTTAGACGGTGACCTGCAAATGTAACAGGTCCAGAAGTAAAGAAGTATCATGATATAAGCAATAGAATAGAATAGAATAGAATAGAACTTTCTTCTTCACTCTGGACAGGTACAGAGCCACACAGAGAGACAAATCCAGCACAAAAACCCCAGCCATAAGGCCCCCGAAGTGGGAAATTTCTCAGTCCACAGAACGCGCATGTGTGGGCCTAAATGTAGCAAACAGGAATAACACAAGCATCACTATAAGAGAGATTATATCCAGGGCATTTTCCTAATTTATAGCCTACATGACAAAAATCTATTTCAGTAAAAGTGGGAAATATATATACGTGTTGCACGGATGAATACTTTCTAAGAATGTTTCTCTCCTTTGCATCATTTTTAGTTCTTGCTATCGTTCTCCATAAAAAGAAAACGTGTTAATGCCCCAAAATGTGAAGTCTTGGAACAGCTAAAATACCGTAACGCATGCAGGTGAACAGAGTGTTCCAGAACACCTTACCCCCAGCCTCCAGCCATCCCTCACACCCTCAGGCCCACGGAGCCCCTTCCTCAGCTCACACTTCTATTTTTGTTCATCCCACCGACACAGAAAGCTTGTTTTTCTTTCTCTGGCTAAGGGAAGAAGAAGAAGGGTCTTCCCCTCTTTTCCCTCCCGCCATTTATCTCATCTGCACCCGCTCCTCCTGTCCCCTGACACCCCATCTCCCTCCGCTCTGCCTGTGACACCCAGCGATTGTTCTGGAGGGGGGGTAAAGGGGGGGGGGGGCGGAG